GCATTAAGCTTTCCGACATTGTACTCTCCCAATTTTTAATTTCCGATCACATACCTATTCTATTTACGCCATCCCTCACGAAGATTGCATATTGCCTTTATACGCCTACCATGCTGTCAACAATCTACACATCCAATTTTAGCTCGAATTTTAACCAGCGCTTTACCGATTTCTACGTCAAATCGCGCCTAGATGACCCTTCATCAGAACTGGATGCTGAGCAACATCTGGATCTGCTGCACTCGGTCTGCCAAATAGCGGCTATCAAATCTGCACCCCTGAAATTATGCAGACAAAAAATAAAATCTGAACCTTGGAAAACGTTAGAGACACGCACTTTAAAACAAAAATATTGACAGGCTGAACATAAATGGAAAAAGGACAGACTTACCATGTCTCTTCAACTTTTCAGATCTGCTCTGTTTTCTGTTTTAGAAAAAAATTGTACTTAATCAATTACAAAGATTTCTATCCCAGAATAATATCGCTGAGCCTTTTCGATCTGGCTTTAGGCCGGCCCATAGCACTGAATCCGCTTTATTAGGAGTTTTGAATGACATCTATCTCCTCACTAATGCTGTTAATCACGTGGCCTTAATTTTGCTGGATTTATCCACAGCCTTCGATACTATTGACCACTCTGTGTTATTATCTCAGCTAGAGTCCTGGGTTGGGCTGAAGGGTACAGTGCTGAAATGATTTAAATCATACATCTCCGACAGGAAGTTTTTTGTCAAAATTGGTAACTTTTCCTCCTCTACGGCACCGTTAACGTGTGGTCTTCCCCAAGGCTCAATTCTAGCACCTTCACTATTCTCTCTTTATATGCTCCCTCTAGGTTCTATTTTCAGTAAACATGGCCTGCATTTTTATTTTTATGCAGACGATACACAAATCTATATGTCACTGAAAAAGCAAAATGAGTCCTCTGTTGTGAACTCCCTTTCACTATGCGTGGAGGAGGTAAAAGCATGGCTTTCTGAGAACTTTTTATTTCTAAATGTGAAGAAAACAGAAGTGATTTTATTTGGGCCCTATGATTTGTCTGACTGTAAACGCCCCAGGCTGGGTAACTTGGAGGAGTTCAAATCACCCCAGGTACGCAACCTGGGCATAACATTAGACCAGAACTTAAAATTTGATAAACATATCTCAAAAGTTGTGGGAAATAGTGTCTACCAATTTCGCCTTCTTTCAAAAATGAAATCCTCTCTTCCTTCACACTCTCTAGAAATTGCCTTACACGCACTTATAACCTCCCGGTTAGACTATTGCAACTCGCTCTATTTTGGCCTGCCTAAGTCTCAGATTGCTCGGCTACAGTTAGTGCAAAATGCAGCAGCTAGATTCTTAACAAAAAGCCCAAAATATGCACACATCACTCCTATTCTGAGGCTCTACATTGGCCAACGGTGACACAAAGAATCAAATTTAAAATCCTTTTCTTTGTGTATAAAGCCCTACATGGTCTAGGCCCTCATTATTTATCCCAACTGATTGTTAATTACACTCCTCCAAGACACTTGCGTTCCGCTGATCAGTTTTTATTAAAAGTTTCAAAGGCCCATGTGACGGGTGTTAATAAGAGTATTAATTTAATGCATTTCACTAATAGTCCCTCCTTTTAATTTTCGTGCATTTGTTTTGCATCAATTTGTTTAGACATATGTTAGAATTTAGTTTTTACTCTATTTGTGTTGTTTAATGAAAATAGTTTTATATTTGTTTTGCGCGCAACGTTACTTCCGGTTGCCGCGCTACGTCACTTCCGGTTGCCGCGCAACGTCACTTCCGGTTGCCGCGCTGGGTTCTCAGACCGCATTGAGCGCGCCGAGGAGAGGTGAGCTTTTAATGGTGCTCCAAGGAAAATCGTTCTAAAAGTTGTCAGAACTTTAAATAAGCTTTAAATATGCGATTGTATTGTTTGTAAGAGTGTTCTATATTAACTAGGAAGTACTTTTCTTCATGTGGATGGATAAAATTAATCACTTTACTGAGCACAGTTGATTGAGTATGTGTGTATAAGTATGTATACTGGACACAGTGATTTCGAATGACCTTCTAACACTTTGTAACTGCTATTTATTTGTTAGGTGGGGAAATTTACAAACGAAATCATATCAACTTACTGTGCTGTTTTCTGATTCATCCAGGTATTGTTTTATGTACATTTATGCTTCTTTGTGTTTACATTTGTTTCGCAATTACATTAATTTCTAATATAAAGTTAGATAGGGGAAGATTAATTAATATCACAATGTATGGAACTGTAATCATTTGTTATTTTTATTTATTTACTTTTTGTACTTTTGTGATCTGTTTACCCAGTTTTAATTGGGTATGATGTTATTGTTATGTTTGCTCAGACCGCATTGAGCGCGCCGAGGAGAGGTGGGGAAATTTACAAACGAAATCATATCAACTTACTGTGCTGTTTTCTGATTCATCCAGTTTGCTCTGATCTGACGCTTGAGTGACAATAAACCCACCATCAGCAGTACCAGTGGCCTGTCTCATTATTGTACACAACGCAGAGAGTGCGAACACCGGTTACACCCACATACACTTATAAACACAAAACAACACAATATTGAAACCTTGCATGTAAACTTGCACACACTTCCAGCTACTCCCACTCTTAACTAGCTGACATTTGTGGGACTTCACATATAAAACAAAACAATTTGAACAGCTCTTGATGTTTTACTACAAAGCTACCTCATTATTGACTAAATATACTTGAGAACTAGGAATAACAACAACAAACATGCTATAGTGGCCATTTAAAACATAGCCGCAGAGTGACATTAACAGTTATATCGTCTTTGACAGCTCAGTGTACTGTCGTTATTTTCTTCAATTTTATGGCTTTTTCAAAATATCATATTTCGGAAAAGTAGTGTCATTTAATCACGAAGACTAGTGGCGGTTCCTTGTCGTCCACTGGTTTGCTGCTGAGAATGCTGTGTGCCCAGTCAAAAAGTGGAGTCTTCTCGAGGTTCACGGTGTCTTTCAAGAGGCCAGCTACAAATTCCGTCACGTGGATAAACGCTTATTTTCCAGTATAGGTTAGGTTTAATTTAGGATAAGAGCAATATTAAACGAACTTTCAGGTTTTACGTGAGGACCTCAACAGTTTGCGTCTTTACATTACATGGCGCCGCTCCAACCAGAAGTCCAAAACAAACAATATAACAATAATCACAATGAAACACAAAACCCTCAGCACTTATAACTCAAATGAAAGTAAAGAAAAAAAATGCAAATGATTTTTGAATATGGGGAAAAATAATAATGATGATAATATAAGTACAGGGAGAAAACAAAACGAGAAATAAAAAGAGAAAGTGGGCCAAAAAAACGTGAAGGGAAATGAGAGGGGAATGGTGAATGTGGAGGTGTGGATGTAAAGGTTGAGGGCGTCGACGAACTCAGCCGGTGAGTAGCAGTCACGGGTGCCTAACAGGAAACTCTGACACCGTCGACTGCCGGATAAAGGCTTTCGGCAGCTGACTCCATGCCAGCGAGATAAATCGATAAATTCATTTTGTTCAGGACACACTGCACTGAAGTTTTTGGTAACGCACTCATTTACAGACATCACGAGCACTTCAGTAACAAGACAGCGGTCTTTGCTCTGTTGCTTCGATACATACTTTTTGCTTTTTGTTTCTCACAGCGAGTCATTAAGTTTACACTGCTTGTCTCGATCTGGTTTCTCTACTCGTTTCCCCACACTGCAACAGTTCAGTCAACTTCTCTTTCTTGCGCACACCACATAATGCTGCCCTCTTGAACCCTCCTCTTTCTTTACACTCCCACCGATTTCCTTTTTAAATGTCATCACAGAAAACCCCAACAATCATAAATGCATGATTATATGCTGTCATGGCTTTGCAGTCAAAATTTTTTGTTATAATAGAGGCCAATGGAGAAAAAAACAGCCATGAATATAACGAAAAGGGAGTAAATTTGTCCTGAGTGTATTGTTTTTTTCTTTTTTTACGAAGCATTTTCCCAGAATATGTCAAAATAAGATGTCCTCAAATATCAGTCTGTTTGCTGAAACACAGAAAAAGTTTTGGTCAAATTAAGCCTCAAAATCACCCCAGAATGGATGAAAAATGACCCAACAGCACACAAGGGGAAAGGTGCAAATTTCAGCCTTTATGCAGATGCTGTACAGATGTGTCTCATGTCTGTTAGGCAAATATTCTCGGCTGTTACCCCAGAACTTTTTTTCTTATGCGTTTACCCGTCAGGCACAGAATAAACAAGTATTCCCTGTCTGCTTTACAAAGTTTAGAAAAACATTTTGTTGTGATTAGGAATATATATGAATAAAAACAGGCCATTTACAGCTTTCTAATATCTGTCTTATCAATATGACCAAAATTATTTTTATGATCAACTATGTAAGAAATGCTGAAAACTGGACTGACACAGTTTCAATTTACTATAACTTCTATGTTAAGCGGCTTTGACACAATTTACATTGCAAAAGCACTAGGTAAAGATTAACTGAATTGAATCTGCTTAAATGTGTACACGTTAATGGACCAAACACAATATGATCTGATTTATTTTACATTTAATTTGCATCAAAATTTCAGTGTGTGTAGCCAATGTTTCCAGTGTCTTTTCACTTTTCAGCTTTTGATGAGAGTTTTTAAGACTTCATGAAAACTAATGTTTTATTTATTTATTTATTTCAGACTTTATTGAAGAGAATGAGGGGAGTAAAGAGGAGGAACATCATGTCAAAATTGAGGAAAAAACTCATTTACAGACTGATGGTATTTTGAAAAGGAGAGACAAGAATCGTTTCACCTGCACTCAATGTGGAAAGAGTTTTGGAAACAAAAGCAAACTTAAGATTCACACGAGGATCCACACTGAAGAAAAAACATTCACATGCACTCAGTGTGGGAAGAGTTTTAACTGCTCATCACACCTTAATAAACACATGAGGATCCACACTGGAGAAAAACCATTCACATGCACTCAGTGTGGGAAGAGTTTCAACCAATCATCAAACCTTAATCAGCACATGAGGATCCACAGTGGAGAGAAACCATTCACATGCACTCTGTGTGGGAAGAGTTTTAGCAGCTCATCAAACCTTAATAAACACATCAGGATCCACACCAGAGAAAAAACATTTACATGCACTCAGTGTGGGAAGAGTTTCAGCCAATTATCATCCTTTAATCTACACATGATGATTCACACTGGAGAGAAACTATTCACATGCACTCAGTGTGGGAAGAGTTTTATCTGCCCATCACACCTTAATAAACACATGAGGATCCACACTGGGGAGAAACCATTCACATGCACTCAGTGTGGGAAGAGTTTCAGCCAATCATCAAACCTTAATCAGCACATGAGGATTCACACTGGAGAGAAACCATTTACATGCACTCAGTGTGGAAAGAGTTTTAACTGCTCATCACACCTTAATAAACACATGAGGATCCACACTGGAAAGAAACCATTCACATGCACTCAGTGTGGCAATAGTTTCATCCAGGCATCATCCCTTAATCTACATATGAGGATCCACACTGGAAAGAAACCACAAATTAAGCCGCGATTACATTTAGACTTCCATTTATACACACTCGAATGCATCAAACCAGAAACGTTAGTGCGTCAAGTTTCGTAGTTCACTGCCTTGCAAAGTTCAAGCTTGGTGAACTCTGACCTGCAAAATCACATCACTTGACTGTGTAAGACCAATCAAAGATCAACACATGACCTCTCTGGACAGAAATGTAAAATATGGACCAATCGCTCACCTTTTTAATGTCTAATAATCTTGGTTAATCCTGCCCCTTTTCGCAACTCTGCACAACTGAATGTTGCATGCTCAAACTCTAGTGTGACCGCAGCTTCGGTGTGGGATTAGTTTCAGCAACTCCTCAGACCTTAATAAACACATGAAGACCCACACTGGAGAGAAACCATTCACATGCACTCATTGTGGGAAGAGTTTCAACCAATCAGCAAACCTTAATGAACACATGAAGATCCACACTGGTGTGAAAGAGTATGTGCTTGAGTGTGAGAAGACTTTTATTACAGCTCTAAAATTTAAACTGCACCAGACGATTCACACTGGAGAGAAACCGTACAGATCTGATCAGTGTCTACAGAGTTTCGCTCATTCGGCGCAGCTTAAGAAACGCATGGAAAAAAGTTGCACACATGACATGAATGCAGCAAAACATTTTCTCTGTGCACAGAATGTTTCATGTTTGAATAATGTTTGAAAAGGCTGAGTGACAGTTTACTGTTTTCCAACTCTCATACACTGCAGTGGGTGGGGTTGTAAATGTGTTGCGTTTACTGTAAACAATGGTGGCAGCTGAAAGAAGAACATTTTCATAAACATCTGGCAAACAGTACCTCTGCGGCTTAAAATCTCTTTGCAAGTGATTATACAGGTGCAGATACATCTGTACTCTACTTTCCACTGTGTTCATATAGCTAGTGTTGTTTTAGATTATGTTCTCTGTCTGACTCCCTGAATGAGAAATCCAGATTGGAGTATGTGGTAAATCCTGATTGGATGCTGGCATTGCTCATCAGTGGGTATATAAAAGTTGTTGTGCTTGCTACCCCAGGACCCTGTGGCTACTCGGGAGTCCTCATGTCAAGACCTGCCATCTCATTAACTCTTTATCCTCATGGTTTTGTTTTGCATTACTTATATCATGTAGTTAAAGTGTTGTTGTGATTTATACCCTAAGTTTTTTAGCTTCATTATTAATTATCCCTAGACATTTGTTGGTTGCTTTGATTGATTGTTCTATGAGTTACATTTTTTAATAAATAATTTGCATTCAGGCTATTTTGTGGGCTCTTCTCTCTTTTATGTTGTTACTCAAACAAGCGGTTCATAACACTTTGTAAAATGCTTCTGGTTGTATCTGAGACCTTGTCCTTTCAGTCATAATCATAGGTGTAAGTAGGAATCTTGATTGAGCGGTAAATTAAGAACATTGCCTTCTTCTCAGCTCCTTCACCCCAACAATCACATCAACTGCATTAATGCTGCTGCTGCACTGATCCATCTTTTAATATCACATTCCATTCCTCATGAAAAAAAACGCAGATACTCCATTCGGGGTAAGGACTCTCCTACGAACTGGAGATGGCCACCTTTTTTCAGTCAAGCACCATGGTTTCAGTCATACAGATGCTGTTTCTTACCCTGCAATGTCACACTCAGCTGAAATAACCGTCAGATCTGTGCATCTCTGCATGATGGAGCGGTGTTAGCAATGTCCTCTTTGGAGGACAACTGATCATCCAGAATCACCCTAAGATTTCTTACTGAACTACATGGGGTAATGGTGTATGATCCCAGCTGGATTGCGAAATTGTATTGAATGTGTGGAGTTGCAGGGAAGGTGATGTAAGCAGATGAGTAAACAAAGTAAACATGGAACAGAGTGTTTCTGCTGCACTATTTACATCAAGAAGTGAGAACTG